ACATCACTTTGCCAATGTATCTCTTGCTTTGAGTCGTGTCATACTCAAGTTCTTCACCATCAACGAGGTAAACTCGTGATTTTACACGCTTCATAAAAAACCACTTTTCGTCGATGTGGACAACATCAAACATGCCATCGTACACAACGTCTTGGCGCACTTTTTTGTGGATAGACATGCAAAACTCGACACGGGCATTGCATTGGACTTCGGACAGTGTTGGTTTCACATTCATGGTTTTGCGGATGAGCCCTCCACTTTTGATCAAACGCAACAAGCGCGTTCGGGGAACACCAGTAGCGAATGCAATGGAGCGCAGCTCGGACCTCTTCTCTTGCAGTAATGCTCGGATCTTGTCGAGCACGGTCGAGCACGTGGCGACTTTCAACGACGTGTACTTCCTCGCATTGGTGTTGCCAAAGTGTCCGCTTGACAGATTCACGTTCATGCCACTCTGCGCACCACGGCACTTTTTCCACACACGGTGCACGGCCCTCGATGAGCAGCCATACTTTTCGGCCAGCATTTCAACACACCCGTTGGAGATCGTCGCTGTTTTGGCTCTCCCAAGGAGCTCCATTGCCATTTGCTGTCGTTCCTTTGGTTTAAGGTGGCGGCGACCATTGACCAGAGCGGGATCATTTTCACGGTCACTTGAAAGGTGTGAAACAGGCATGACTTTGAAATGCAAAATGTCAGCCACTACTTCGACTACGGTAGATTGTCAAGGACCAGTCGTTAGTGCTCGAGATTATCTTCCACTCACATGAATATTCTTCTCTCATTCGCTCTAATTTGCTTTTTTTACACCAATCCCGATTTACTGACATTTCGTTTGGACCAGAGTAGTAAATGTATTCACCAAATCTGTATATCAGTGTGATGGGTGAGAAATTTGCATTATACTTAGGGGGGGGGGTGAGTTTCCAATCAGTGTGATGGGGTGGCGAAGACATCACAACATGGCCCGTTGCTGGTACTATGGTCACAACAATTGGCGCAACCTTCTCCAAATTGTGCTTCAATAGACGCCGCCACACGCAAATCTTGGCCTCGGACGCATCGAGTAGGATTGATTCCCCATCAACATTGTGATTCTTCAAATTCAGGTCTTTTGCCACGGCCCCGTCCTCGTGAATTGACTCCCAGACGCGAGAACCCACCGCTCTCGTAGATGATGGAATGTGGACTAATTGGGAACATCTTGGATTCGTTCTGTTCGATGGCACCACTGGCAACCTCAGTACGTGATGAAACGAATCGGTACGATTTCTCCATTCGCGTGGACAGCAAGGACTGCCGACATGGGATACAAGTATTGCCTCAGTTGACTATCTTCGAACTTCCACCTGCAACAGACCAAATTACATCATGAGACATTGAAATAGCCCTGATTCATCTACACTACACAATGGATTTTTTCGTTGGAACGACGGCTCAAACTCTTGCGTCGACCCATTTTTCAAGTTGATTGACTATTTTATGTATGCTCTGCGAACAAGTCGCTTTTGTTGGCCTATGTCATCCTCAGCGTCATCATTTGACAGTCCTATCACTCTGGAAGCTGTACAACTTGAAGAACTTGGATCATTTCGAATTTGAAACGTTTCTAGTTGTTTCAAACGTGAGGGGAAATCAGCATTTTGAAGTCAAGATGGTTCAAGCCCGTTTTGAAAACACGACTCCCAAAATAGCCATCACGTGCCGCCAAGGGACGATTCATTCTTCTAGTGGTTTGCTCCTGTTGCACGCATGGAAAAAGTGCACCCTTCAACAACTCCTGAAGTGCCGCCGCAGCCGGCTACTTCCAGGAGTCGCCCAGGCTGGTGCGGCCGGCGCTTTTTACTCGGCTTGGTGCTGTTCATGCACGTTACCGTGTGCCTGTATTTGACCATGTGGATCGTCGTCACTCTCTTCGCCCGAGGAGTCGACGTTGCCGTGGCGAATGCGTACTCGCCCATCACAGTGATGGGTTCGTATGCCGTGCTAATTGCGCTCAACGCATATGCTGTGATGGCGGCACTCTTCCCCAAGAGGATACCCTCAATATCTCTTCCGTCGACGGAGCGGATCACGGCTTGGTCATCGGGATTGTTAGACAAAGTGGCAAAGCCCCAACACCCACCCACGTTTTCCCCCTCTGTGCAGTCCATCCTGATGACCGAAGAAGTCCAAGACTGTATCATCATTGCATTCAACCTGGTTCAGGTTGGATGCCAGAGCTTCCAAGCGTTCGCCATGTTCCAAACGTTGGTCGAGCCGGTCAAAGTCATCTCGTACGGTCTCGTGGTGGTATTATACAGCTTTGCATCGCCGCTTCTATTGTTCATTCGAAGCGTGGGAACCAAGTCGGCAGTCCTCAATCTGGCGGACGCAATTGTGTGTTTCATCTTGTCGACCGGCCACCCCCTATTCTCCCTCATCATTACCGTCTTTCACTACTTGGTGCTGGAGCCCACGTTGGCCCAAGACAACCTCTGGGCTACGCGATCGACCCTTCTTACACGGCTCCTTGTTCCGTCGTCTGCCTTTGACATGCTTTGCAAACTCGGTATGCATCTTGGCACGTTCATCTCACTGCGACTGTCCCAGTCGTCGCTGCAGATGCTCAAAGCGACAGCTTATCGCCCCCCTCAGGCACCGAGTGCCCGTGGAC